AAGGGCTGGTTTCTTCTTCAAACTTTAAATGTGCTAAAATCATACATCTTTAGTTTAAAATGCAGAACTTATTTATATAAAGTTACATAACCACAAAAGTTTCAGATAGTCATTTATTAAGTGACTTGGGGAAACAGTTCCAATGAATTATTACTTCATGATTTGGGGATTTACAATCTGAACTTGAACAATGAGCACTTATGCAATTTTCACTAACATTATCATGAGTTTTATTCAAATCTATCAGGAGGATAGAAAGAAACATCTAAGCACGGATATCTACTTAACTTTCTTAGGGGTATTCTAGTCTCTCAGCTGAATAACCATATTATGAATCTGATAACTACCTCTAATGAAATGTATCAAACAATCCCAGCCATACCCCCTTGTTCCAACATTATGGTTAAATAACAAAATGTGAAAAGTGAGGGGAACAAAGTTTATCCAATGCAAGACTGATTTTTCTCTTTATTCCCAAGGGAAGTGTGATGCTCAGCTGTAAGCAGAACTCTGCATTCACCTAAGGTGCCTATCAATCTATTATAGTGATGTAATTCTCATATTTTCATTTTTTTTTTGAGTTCATGTTTTATTCTCAAAATTATCCCCTTACTTTCTTAGCATTTGAACTCTTATCCACCCAAATTATTTTGTGGCACTTTCAAAACAAGAAAACTGTTTTAAAGTGGGGAGGGGCAGTTACTACATTTTAATTTTTACTTATTTTTTCTCATCTTGAGATTTTCACTAAGTAGATCGTGACTTCAAATCAATTCAACAGGAAAATTAGTTTGTCCATGATTATCTGAATTATAAAAGGCTATCTAAATCTTAATCTTGTCTTTTCTTGAATTTGTCCTTTAACCCACTTAAAGATGACATAGTCTATTTCCCCTCATGGCTACAGATAAGATTTTTCCATATGAAAGCTGGTAATTTATAGGCTCAAAACACAGGATTGTAAAAATATCTATAGTACTCACTTAAAATGGAGATATTTAAGAAAGTTATTTCATAAAAATTAGATGGTTTTAAAAAATTAAGAGTTGATTACTAAAGATCATGGGAGAGAAAAAAGAAAAGGAATTTCCTTTGCCTTAGAAACTTCCTTTTACTTTGGTAAAACAAAGAATTCTGGTTTGTGGCAAGCCTGTTGAAACTTAATTTTAAATATAACTAGAAATGTCTACCTCTTATGGGTGGAGCTGAGATTATCTCAGCCTCTATGCTCATGTGTGTCACCAACCCTCAGAACATTCTGAGCAGGTGGTGGGTGGGATCTATCATTCTTAATTCATTCATTAAATAATTATTCAATAATCCTATTCAGCTGCTATCTGTGTGAGGCACTGTCTTAGAAGTTGAAAATAATGTGGTAAACACGTCTGAAAACAGACACGGAGCTTACATTCTAATTAGAATAGCTAGAAAAGTAAATTCAATGTAAGATATAAGTATAGGCAAAAAGCAGAAAGGACTGGGAAGGCTGAAGATGTGGAAATTTTCTATTTTAATTAGGTGCCACAAGGCCTAAAAAGAAGGGAACATTTTGACATAGAAAGATGAGGGAGTTAAGATATTGTGGAAAATTAGGGGAAGAGTGACAAAAGGTACAGATAAGAGCATGTTTTGTGTTTCAAGGAAAAGTGAGGCGACCAAGTAAGCAACAAGGATTACTACAGGAGTCAAAAAGCCAGGTCTTACTGGTGACTCTAAGGACCTTAGCCCCACTTAGTTTCTTCTTCTACTACTCAGAATACTGCCTGGCGTGTAGTAGGCAAGCACAAATTCTTGGTAAGTAAACAAATGTAGAAAGTTTTTTTGGATGGTGGAACACTGGACATGTTTAGAACTAATCACTATTACACATAGCAAAGTATTTATGAGCTATTGCTTAGCGTGGGGCTCTGTGTGCAAACTAAACTTCAGAATTCTCTGTACATTTATTTGTTTACTTAATTTTAGATAGTACTGGGTACTGAACACAGGGTCTTACTCATAAGCACTCAACCACCTGGGCGACATCATCAGTCCTTTTGCTTTTATTTTTTTTCTGATAGGATCTTGTACTTTTGCATTGGTTGGCTTCAGACTGCAACCCTCCTATTTCTACCTCCTGAGTTGCTGGTATTACGAATGTGAACCACAATGCCTGGCTTCGAACCATGATTCTCCTATCTCTGTCTCCCAAATAGCTAGGATTACAGCCTGAATTCTTTGTATATTTAAAAGCTACTGTCATGAAAAGAAAATCTAGGGCAGATTCAGAATTGTAATTCTTTCTACATTCTAGATTCTTGACATTGGAAAGCAATAATGGCATGGGCTAACTTAGGTTTTGGGCCATATTTCTATTCTTTACATTGTAAAACTGGAATTTCATCCAAATACTTTTTATACAAGTAATGAGCCAATGGGTTACTTCCAATATAGCAAGGATTTGAGTATGATTTATCAGGTTTTATTTTGCTTCCATCATTTTTCCATAGGATCTCCTGCTTGTACCCAGCTGACCTGAACTAAGATCCTCCTCTTTATACGTCTCAGGTAGCTGGGAATGTAGGGATGTGCTGACACCCTCAGCTATTGGTTGAGATAGTGTCTTGTGAACTTCTTGCCCAGTCTGGCCCAGAACAGCAATCTTCTCTATCTCTACCTCCTGAGCAGCTAGGATTACAGGCAGGAGCCATGGTGCCTGGAGGACTAATTAGTTGTTTTATTACAAGGGCACTGCCTTGTCTGAAGAGGGTCAGAGCCTAAGTCTACCTAAAAAAATTTATATTCACTGAATTTAACATGTATTAGAAGGCCAAATTAAGAAATCAAGTAAAATAGGTTAAGATTTAACTCATAATTGATTGTATAACCTTTTATAAGTAATTTTCAATTGCTCTGTACTACAGTTTCTTATTTCAAAAAACTGCTTATGATACTGTCTTTCCCCTTTCTGTTAGCAAATGCAATTAAGAACATATTTGTGGCTCTTTGGAACAACAGAGTAAAAACAAATGCCATGAAGTATAATTGCCAAACCACATATAATTTTCGAAATTATAATTGACAACTTAATAAAGAAAGCAATAATAGAGAACTAAGACAACACTTTTGATTTATCTCTTTTAAGACTTGGTAAATATTGAAAAATAAGTTTAAAGTACTTTGGAATAAAATGACAATTCCTATTTTTATACTTAGTTTTGAGAATCACATTCAACTTAATTGATCATATTCTACCTCAGTAGTGGTCTAAGAAACACAGATTAAGCACAATCGGGTATCATTTTCTCTTTATGTGATTAGCCAAAAATCTAAAGATTATAATGGTTAGCATTGAGGAGGGTAGTGTTCATTTCTCTAGACACTGCTAAATGGATATATTAATATAATTTTTTGAAAGAGCAATTTGAAAATACTTAAAAAAATTTTTTTTGGCAGCACAGGGGCTTGAACTCAGGGTCTCGAACTCAGGGTCTCATGCTTGCCAGGCAAGCACTCTACCACTTGAGCTACTCTGCCAGCCTGCAATTTGAAAATACCTGTCCAAACAAAAATGGGCATATTTTTCAATTTTACAATTCCATTTATAGTCTGATCCTATCATAACATTCTTACATACAGGAAGATACATGCAATCACATTTACAAAACATGTTTACTGTACCATGGTTCAAAAACTATGGTTATTAACCTAAATATAAATTTATTGATAGAATTACAATTAATAATTATATGATTTACATTAGAAAACACGTACACCAAATACTCATTATCTTAAGTTGTTTTAATTTGAAATTCATTTCAGTGAAAGCCCTATTAATATTTTGAGGTAAGAGGTAAACTTCAATATAAACAAAATTAGAAAAATGTTTGTGCTTTTCAAACCAAGTCTTTGAGAAGTACCTATTAAAGGAAAAAGATTTTCATGAATTTTCAGAGTAAATAAGCAATGCTTGAAAAAACAAAGTGAGAGCTAAACCTTTCATAAATGTCCCTTAAACCAATTAGTATTGGCACCTTGGTATAAGTACAAAAAATGACTATGCACTGATTAGCTGTTAATGCAAAAAAACATATGCTACTATGCAGGAAGGGATGCAATTAAGAGCTAAAATGACAGATCCTTAATGAGACATTCATTAGAAGTTAGAAGTAAAATGAATGTAAAAAAGTGTACATTCTATCCATATCAAATCTGTATCTATTCACTTCAACAGTCCTGTTGTGACTAGAAATGGCCCCTCAGTCTATAAACATCCACACTACAATGCAAATAATGTCCAATATAACATTTTTAATGTGCTGCAAGTAACTGAAATGACCTCTAAATTACTTTTGTTTTTATTTTTAATTTTTTGAGATAGGGTCTTGCTATGTAGCCTACACTGGCCTTGAACTTGAGATCCTCCCACCTAAGTGCTGGGATTACATTGTGTCAACATGCCTGGCTTGCTTTTACTTTTTAAATCTAAAAAAAGAGCTAATAAGCATATTTAAAGTATTGTGTGGCTTGTCCTTCTTGTCTAAGACTATTTTACTTACCAGCAAGGACAAGTCACTCTATACTTTAAATATGCTTGTTTTGTCAGCTCTCTCTCTCTCTCTCTCTTTTTTTAAATCTATGTGAGGACTGCTTTGATGTTGCCATCAACAAGTAACATCAAAACAGTCTTCACATAGGTATTTACAAAAAACTGCTAAAAGTACATGTATTCTCATTTAAACGTGCACATATGTGTACATAAATTTTACATGTTATTTGTTGCATACCTCTTTAATATCAACCTTGACATGACAAGCAAATCAGCATTTGCTGATGCTGCCTCAACAATTCAGCAGCATCACCATCCTAAGATTTACAGCTCTGCTTTTTCACACGTTCAGTGGGGGGATATGACTATCATTTTATTCAAAGTAAGTGTTCTTTAGGTAAGTTGACTGATAGTTACAAAGTGGCACATTGTCCCCAAACCCTGACAAATTAGTTATATGGCAGATACTTACATCAGCATAGTGGCCTATCATATCACATCGATCACATTGTTTTCTCCAGGAAGATCTTTCAAGACATCTGTGAGTAGAAGACATGGGCAAAAAACAGTCTAAGCAAAAGCGGGCTGGACAGGCATATTGGAGGTGTCCTCTCTCAGAGCAGAGGCAGCAAGGTCGGACTTTCTATGAAGCAAACAGAAGATATCGTTAGCAAAACACTTCAGTCTCAAATTTGGAAGATGAACATTTCCTTTTCTATATAATCCTATACAAAGTTATTTTGAGACCCAATAAAGTTCCAATCTTGAACTCAACTGTAAAATTAAACAAAATGTCTGAATTCAAAGCATTAACATAAGCTATGTATTTGTTGTGGTTGCCACAAAGGCTTAGTCTGAATGTACTATCAGCGGGTATTTATTTCTTTTGTCTCATCTTATATGACTATTCACAAAACAAAGGTGACTAAGATGAGAGGATGATAATGGCATCTGGAACCTAAGTCATAAGAGAACAGATACAGGACAGGCTGTGTTTTTTGGGAAGCAAACGCAAAGAAGAAACATGAACTTTAAAAGACACGTCATTTGGAAGAGAGAATTAAGTAGGAAGTGGAAGGAATGTGTGTCTAGGGTTAATATATGTCAGAGAATAACTAAGAGCTTTAATTCTGTGTTGTTCCAAAAGTAGATATACTTACTTAATGTAATTAACATCAATAAACATTTATAAATGACTATAATTATAATTATCCCACAATGAAACAAGCAGTGCCATACTGTAGGAGGTTTAGAAGTGAAAGGGTCTCAAGAATCACTGTATTGAGTCTTCTCACTTTACAGACGAGAAAAGTGAGGCATGGAGCATGAAATGATCTGCCTAAGGTCACACAAGTAGTAATGGGAAGCTGGACCTGATTCCAAGTTTTTCTGATGTTTATTATTCTTTCTCCATGCCAGGCTCACAAGCTACATGAAATCTAACATACATTTATAAAAAAGATTTGAATTCTATGGTTATAGGGATTCCAAACCTGGGATTTTCATTTTACCAACGTGGAGAGAAGCATTTCATGTTTCACGTACTTGTGGTAAGGGGCAGTTTTTTGACAAATGTCCACATTTGCCACAGTTTCTACAGGTGACGTTTTTGTTGGTTGAATAGTATCGGCGGGCCCATCTTCCAGGTGATCTGTTATTACCTATCCTGGCCTAAGAGTGGAAAAAAATTGACAAGTAAAAAAATCATCTCACTCTATTTAATAAAAACCTTCTACTCTTCTGTTTTTAAGCTATCAACCTCAAACTTTAAGTTAGTCCCAATACAATGAAAAGGCAAGTAAATTAAACAGTTAGATAATGTTTAATTTCAAATCCAACAGAGAATTTCAGGCTCTTTCATTTTCTTAAAAACCAAAAGAAAGTCACAAAAGGGGGTAGCATAAAGATAGTTTTACTCTTTTTATACTTGTTCACATGATTCCCACTCTTCTATCTCCTATTAGTGTTCAGGTCTAACAGGGTTACTGATTCAGACATTGTGTCATCACCCAGAGTCAAACACAGTAAGTGCAGTCTTCTATATCTAAATGCCCACCATATATTTTTGAATGAGAGAGAGCACGAGATTATTGTAACTGTCTATAAAACTGGATTATAATTTCTAAAAGGGAGTAAGATAATTTTCTGTTACTGGATATAGTAATCCAATTCTAGCTCTTTTCTAGCAAAATTCTAATACCTGCAAGGGAATATAAGCAAAGCATATCATATGGATATCTAAATTCCCAAGCATGCTTTTATCTTGTTTGGTAGAATTTCATCTTTAAAGCTCAACACTTGGTAGGCTAAGGCAGGAAAGGCTTCATCATTTACTTGTTATTCTGCTGAAAGGGCTAAGTAACTATCTCTAATTTAGTTATGTCTTAAAATTTCTACCAAGTTATAAAATTACTCTCTTTTTTAGCATCTAATAATTGACAAAGACAAACACCTGCAACATCCTAAATATAGACTAACCATTTCCTTACACTGAAGAAGCAGTCATTTCCGGTGCTGATCTTTTAGTGGAACCAGGCCATATGGCTAATAGGACTCAGCAAGGCAGAGAAGAAACAGAATAGGAAAGGGGACGAAATCATTATGGCTATTAATCAGCCAAATTTGTACTAAAATCAAACTTTATCTTCTAAGCCATCCAGACCACTTCTATTTAAAGTTTTATTACTTTCCCAAAGGTATTGCAATGAAACAAAGAGAATCTATGAATCAAAGGAAAGTATCAATTTATTATTCAGAATTTTAAGTAAAATTTGATTTTACCTCAATATCTTTGTCACTGATGAACCAATTTACATCATGTTCTCCTACAAAACAAAACAAAAAAATACTTTAAATACCTGAAACTCTTATGCAACTCTTAAATATTGTTATTTATGGTGCTGAGGATCAGACTCAGACCCATGGCCTTGTGCATGCTAGGTAACCACTCTACTGCTGAGCTATATCCTACCTTAAAACTCTTAACTTCCTTATTAGTTGTGTAGCCAACAAATAGTTAACCTCTCTGAGCCTCGTTTTCCACACCTGTGAAATGGAGCTAATAGTATTTTCCCTGTCCACCAAAAAAGTCCTATGAGAATCAAATGATATGTGAAAATGTTTTGAAAGAAATTAAATTATATCCCCCCTCCCCAAAAAAAGAGTGAAGGAACCAAACACGCAACAGCAGACACAGAAAAAAAAAAAAGTACTATCTGCACTTCCTTATCTGGCCAAAGCAGAGCTTTACTGAGAGGCAGGTGTCATAACACATCCACTGGCTCTAAGTTTCCTGCTCCTGGGCACTGGAACACTCTTTCCCCTGCCAGCCCCATTAAAAAAAGTATAAACAAGTGTTTGCAGAATCTTCTGTCCTTTTGTCTTCCTAGGTACCTCCTTTTAAAAGTTGGAATATACATCTTTACCACTATAGATCTCTAAACTCTTCAGCAAGTGCTCGCTGCAGTGTGAAAAACCTGCATCTTTTCTCCCGTTATTCTGTCCCTTGTCAGTTAACTCATGCATTCCTAATTCAGACCTAAGTTGGACACAGCATCCATGAACGGTGTCCACTACTTTTTCATTTAAGGTAACTTTCATTTTAACATTTTAAAAAACTGGACTTAGAACACTAGTTTATTATTAGTGTTAGTAATTTTATAGTGTACTTTATAACATTAAAAAAAATAGTGAAATAAATGAGCAAAAAAAGAAGGTCAAACATCCAGAAACCATCTAGAAATAAAACTATAAAACCTACATGAGGGAAAAAAACCACTTTTCTGTACTGCTGTCTTCTGTTTGCACCGCCCCTTTACAAGCCTGCAACCAGCTGCTACTTCTTGGGTCCTTCCATGGCCAAGGAGGAAAGGTCCTATGACTTACACAGATGCTAAGTTGTCAACAAAGGACTGAAAGAGTTTTTTCCTCTCCCTCCCCACCCCAAAGCAAAGTTAAGATTTTCTCTTCCCTCCTACCTTACTACTTTCCTCTATCTGAAAAATACAAATGAAGCCTGACTCATTTCTTTGAAAGGAATTTTGAAGAGACATGAAGTAATCTCCATTTGCCCAGGCCTACCAGGAGTTAAGTGTCTAGAAATACATTTTAAAATAAAATACTTTTACCAAGAAAACTATGAGGCTGCTTTACAAAAAGGCCAATCCATAGGAAAGCAGAGATGCTGTGCTGATTATTTTCTTTGTGAAATTTGGAGGCTGCATCATGTGCTGAGAGTATAGAATACATTAAACAACAGTAGTTTCTATTCTTCCTTTACCACCATTTGATTATTCTTTCATTCAAAAGATCCAGGTAAACAGCATGCTTTACTGTAACATTTAAACCTGCTTTTTATATCTCAATGTCCTTCATTATTAAAATTCAAAATGGCCACTTGAAGAAATCATTTTAATTACAAAACTGACTTAATACTGCTCTTAAAAATGAATACAAAGGCAACAAAATGCAAAATAGCAACTGTGACTACTCCCAACCCCTTGTATGTATACCCATGAATACAGAATAGTGAAAAGGGGTCTGAAAGGAGATGGATTACATTTAGCTGTTTTTGAGATTCTGTGGAATTCAACAATATTCTAGTTTATATACTAACTACTCAAAAAGTCATACAGGAAAAAATTCATCAACAGGTTTCAATTATAGATAGACATAATTAGGAACAAATAAGCCAACTCTTGGCCCTTCCCATGTTCCAAATTGTGGCTTGATCCTGGTAATGACAGCTTCTTCTTTTTATTTTATTTATTTATTTCTGGTATAGTGCTGGGCATTGAACTCAGGGCCCTATGCTTAGTAGGCAAGTGTTACCACTTAAGCCACATTCCTAGTCATTTTTGATTTTTAGACAGGGTCTTACTTGGGGGTGGCCTTGGCCTCAGACTGAGATCCTCCTACCTTCACCTCCTGAGCAACTGGGATTATAGGCATGCACCACCATGAGTGGCCTAACCTTCCTTTTTTATTTATCCCTTTCATGTCTAAACTCTAAACCACAACCTAAGAGAAGCCTTGTGTAGGAAAATTCATTAGAACTTCTACCCATATTCAATTCTCTACTTCATTAAATTCTGGGTATGGGACTTGGTAGAAATGTGGCTTCTAGTCTTAACTCTGCCTCTAATTTGGGTGTGTGGTATGGTGTTGGGCAGGCTACTTATCCTCTCTGGATCTATATAGTAATGGATTGGGTGAAATGACATCCATGGTACCTTCCACCACTAAATTTTTGTGATTTTCTTTCATTGCTGGAATCAAATACATTGTCAATCCTATTTACCTAAATGTTCCAGTCCATGGCAATCAGCACACAGGGCCTTGCCTTAAATACAACTTCCCATAGGGCACAGGGGCACTCATTTTCCATGTATCTACCATCCAATACTACGGAGTATAAAATAGGACTGTCAGAAGTGTAAAATTAAGACTGTCTAAGGATGCATATAATAAATTCTTAGCTGCTTTATAGTCTTTGATTTGGTGAAATATGGCATGGTGAAATATGACTTCAGAATTGTGACCAAAGATATAGTTAATAATTCTTTCTTTACACTGAACTCAGTTTAACAAACACCTACCAAAAGATTTTAATGAGCAATGGGCTAGAGGGTAAACAAAGAAGAACAGAGCTTATAATCTAATAGAAGACAAGGAAACAAATGAAGGGAGAAGCAAGGAGTAAGAGAAAGGCTATGGTAAATTTAGATTAAATAATATCTAAATTTAAAAGGGAGAAAGGGAAAAAAAGTCACAGAAGGCTGGGGCACAGAGGAAACTACTGAGGCATAATTTACATATAATAAAACGTACCCATGTTAAAATACAGGTATGATGCATTTTGACAAATGTGTACACTTGTGTAGCCACTCAAACATAGAACATTTCTATTACCCCAAATGTTACAATGTGTATATCTGCAATCAATTCCTAGACCCCAGGAAACCACTGATTCACTTTTTGTCGCAATACATGCCTGTTCTAAGACCTTACTTAAGGTACCATTTTATTTGACTTCTTTCACTGAGTATTTTTGAGATTCATCCATACTGTTGTCGTTCCTTTTTTTTAATTGCAGAGCAAAATTCTATTTCGTGGATATAACAATTTGTTTAGTTTTTTACTAATAGAGTTTTTGACAATTATAAATAAATAAAATATCTAAGATCAGGATTGTTGGGTATTGCAAGCATATCTTTATCTCAACCATTTTAAGAAACGGGCAAACTTTTCTGAAATGGATGTGCCATTTTATGTTCTAATCTACAATGAATGAGGATTCCAGCAGTTTGGTAATCTCTAATACATGGAACTGTCAATGTTTTAAATGTAGCCTTAGAATAGATATGAAGTAATTTTACAGTGGATTTTAATGGACATTTTTCTGAGGATGAATTATACTGATCATCTTTTCATTTATTTGATACTCGTATCTCTTCTTTTTAAAACTATCTGTTCAAATTTGTTGCCTATTTTAAAAATTAGTTGTTCTTTCCCTTTTTTACTTGGGTATTTTTTAATTAAATGCTAAGAGTTCTTTATAAATTCTGGATATAAGTCTTTTATCAGACATGTGATTTGCAAATACTTTCTTCCCAGCTGTGACATGCCTTTTCATTTATTTTAAATTATAACTCAAAGAACACAAGTTTTAAATTTTAATGAAGTCAAATTGACAACTTTTTCTTTTATAGTTTACATTTTTTGTCTAAAGATATCTGTCTATGCATGGTTACAAACATTCTCTGTTTCCTTCTACAAATTTTAGTTTTAGCTTTTTTTTTTTAATTATTGTGCTGGATGGGTGTATATTGTGGCATTTACAAAGTTCTTACAATATATCGAATATATCATACTTGAGTTCACCCCCTCCATAATTCTCTTTTATCTCCCCTCCCCACAGTCTGAAATAGTTTCAGCAGATATAGTTTTAGCTTTTTTATATTTAGGTCTATTACCCATTTTTTCCCATTATGCACAGACAGTTGTTCCAGCACCATTTGTTAAGTTAAATGATTATCCATTTTCTTCTTTTAGCAACTTTCCTGAAATCAGCTGACTATGCACATGTGGGTCAGTTTCTAGAAGTACCACTGAGCTATATGTCTACCGTTATATGGTATTATAAGTGATTATTAAAAATACTGATATCATGCAGTATAAGGCTACTACTGACTGCTCTGTTGTTTTACAAGATTACTTTGCCTATTTTAGGCAAGTACATAAACTGAAGAATAAACATGCCAATTTCTAAAAAAAAAAGAAAAAAAAAAGTCTGCTAGGTACCAATGGCTTATGCTTTCAATCCTAGCTACTCAGGAGGTGGCGATGGGGAAGATCATGGTTAAGGCCAGACTAGACAAAAGGCACTTGAAACCTCATGACAATCTATAGCTGGGTGTAGTGGCACATACCTGTCACCCTAGCTTCTACAGGAAGCATAAATAGGAGGACTGAAGTCCAGGTCAGTCTGGACAAAAAGCAGGACCCTATTTCAAAAATAACCAGAGTAATCGGCCTGTGATCCTAGCTACTCAGGAGGCACACAACAGGAGGTCATGGTTCAAAGCCAGCCCAAGGCAAAAAGGTCACAAAACCCAATCTTGAAAAAGCTAATACAAAACAGGGCTGGCTCAAGTGGTAGAGCACCTGTATAGCAAGTGTGAGGCCCTGAGTTCAAACCCAGTACCCCAGAAAATATAAACTGTAAAAGAAAAAGTCTTCAATTCAACTTTGCTAAAAAAAAGAAAAAGAAAACCCCAAAACAAACAAACAAACAGCAAAAGAACTGTAGACATGGCTCAAGTTG